AGAAAAGAGAAGTAATGACTGAAGTGCATGATGCATAGAGTTCACATATTGATGGTGGCAGAGCTCCTTTAGACACCTAAATATGGAAAAGAATATTGTGTCAAAATGTTGTACATATTAATGGGAACATTTACTATTTAATATGTGTCACCCTGAAAGGTATATAAGGATAGACAAATAATCTTTGAAAATCCTTAGATTTTTGGTTATAGGATACAATAAACAAAGAGCAAGCTCTTACAAAATGAGCTTTTTCTGGACTCAAAGCTCCTTTCTGTGTATTGTATTTTAATAACTACAAAAATAAAATCTTTAAAATCATTTAAAAATAAGGCAATTTTCAAAGCACATGTAAGATAGAATATGACTACAAAGGAGCAGCACAGGGGAGATTTTGGGGGTGATGGAAATATTCTGTACTCTAATTGTAGGGAGTGGTTCTAGGCTAAATGTGTGTTAAAATAGTATACCAAAACAAAAAGTCAATTTCACCGTATGTTAGTTTTAAAAAGAAAATTGAAACAAAGCGCATATGCAATTGAATTAAACATACATTTTAATTCAAAACATCAAAACATTCTATGTTTTCTTCAAAACATCTTATGTAACACATGCCATACACCTGTTTAAATATAGGACAAATGTAGGTCTCACTTCTTCTGTCTTTGGTATATTCCCATACCTAAAAAGATTTTTGTCAAACCTTACTTTTGTGGTTTGTATTATAAGTCAACAGGTGTCTTGATGGCACTTTTTCAAACTATGTATGCCCAGAAGAAAATTCTAATGCATTCCCCTGATACATAGCTATAAGGTGATTTGTCCAAGTCTCACACTTCCTGGCTGTGACCTCAGGTGTCCTGATAGCTCATTATGACTAAAGCATGGGGACTGAGAAAAGACCAAATAGATATGTAAGTAAAAAACCATAAGATATCTTGCATGTCAGGCTAAAAACTTTATACTCATATCTTTTAGGGCTTACTGTTTTGCTATCAGAGTACCAATAAAATATTTACTATAATTAAATTTATGATTTAGAAAGTTACTACTATGACTACAGAGTGGCAGACAAATCTAGGCAAAATAAAAAAAGTAGTTTACACTAAACTAATCTTGTATATTTCATGTTATAAAATTTGGTTACTTCTATTTATCTCATTCAAACCCTGGACTTAATCTCACCTTCTGATTCATATTCGCTTGCTTTCTGTTTCAAGTCCTCTATTACCAGGTAGACGTCCCTGTCCCGGACCCTGTTTTGTTCTGAAAGGTGATGTAAAATCTCTGTAGTCCGTGGGTTCACCTCATACTGTGGAATGGGATGATCTCCAAATATTTTTTTCAACCACGCAGCAACCTAACCATCAGAAAGAAGAAAATATCATAAGCCTTGTTTATTGTAATGGCACGATTTGAATATGACAAAGAAGTAAGCAAAGCAAACTAAATGTTTTCGATGACTGTTGTCCTACTTCACATTCTAACTCTTCTTTAGGGAGATAGTAGATATTCAGAAATAAACTTAAAAAGTGAGAGAAAAAAAAAATGTGAGCAAGCACAACGAACAACGTTCTTTTACAAGTCAAAATTACCAGAGAACAATCCATTCTTTCCCAAAGCTACAAAAGCAGTATAGGCTAATAATTTGCCTCACTTAAAAAAAACCTTAAAGGTCGGCTGGCCCGGTGGCGCATTGCTACAGTGCGGCTCCCGCAGAGGGTTCGGATCCCACAAACAGACCGGTTCCCGCTCACTGGCTGAGCGAGGTGCGGGTGTAACACCCAGGGTTGCGATACCGTTGCCGGTCCCGGTCCGGTACGGGCGCGACACTGAGGGTTGCGGTCCGTTGCTGGACACGAAAAAAGACAAAAAGGAAAAAAAAAAAAACCTTAAAGGTCAATATGGGGGTGCGAAGGCATTACTATATATGCATGGTCTAAAAAAAAAAGCGTTGTCCACAACACATCATAAGCCCCGCAGTGCCGGGAGGCTCCAAGAGTTGGGATGCGGGATGCAGGAGCAGCTCAGGTGTGAAAATTCTAGTAGGAAGTAGCAGCTTGGCTGGAAGGTGGGTTTGCTCCAGCAAGCTCGGTGGAGTTTCGTCACTGGGGCTGCTCAACGCCACTGCAAGCCCCGATCCAAGCAGGTGAAAGCGAGGAAGGAAGTTTGGAAACGCCCTTTTCAGGAAGGTCTTAGCAGAGGGGGGCTCGCCGATTGTGAGGGAGCCACTAAAGGAGGACGTGTGAAGTGGAGGGAGAGAAAAAGTAGACGTGGCACGCGCAGGAGATCCGCCGAAGACGCGGGTACGTCAAAGACTGGGTTTCCAGAGGGCCGCAAATCCCAGCTCCGGCCCCATCACCTGCGCTTCTTCCTCCTGCTGCGCCTCCATGGCTGCCGTTCCCGCCACTTCACGCGGAACTCCTCGCTGGAGACGCGCTCCGCTGGCTCCCAAGGCCCCGCCCACACGCCGTTGGTCCCGCCTCTCGTCGGGGCCCGGGATTTCTGGGAGTTGTGGTTTTTACTCAGACTCCAGGCCCCTGAGCCCTTGGACGTGGCTGGTCCAGGACTCCATCCAGCACAGCAAGCCTGTCTTCCCTCACCACCTCCCCGCTCTCTCCGTCCTCCGTGGTGTAAACTCCAGGACGAGAAGTAGGGCTGCCTAGAACCAGGCTCTTTTGTTCTTTCTTATGTTTTTACTTCTCGCTTGAATCACGTTGTCCTAAAAACATACCTGAAACTTTTGATTCTTTGTCAGCAGATGTTTGTGTTTCTTCCATATTGATTGCATAAACCTAAAATTTTTATTCTACCCTGCCAATATGAGCTGCAGCAATCTTAACCTTATCCGTTAGTTCCCACTACGAAGGAACTAAATGTGCAGAAGAATGTTTTAAAACGGTTAACAGCGCCTATCTGCTGGGATTGTCACTGCCACTCAGCCATTCTTCCATTAACTTCTTGCCTTCCCTAAAGTTCTCTCTTCCCCCCATTATTCTGTATTTAACACTATAAGAGGTTCTTTATATTTATATAGCAATGTATAGTTTTCCATGTGTTTTAATTTCATTCTTAGAGGGACCCTGTAAAAAAAGGAGGACACGAATTATTTTTGCCTCTTTTCACATTAAAACACACACAGGTTAAATGACTCGACCAAGATTAGGTGGTAGAAATAGAATCCGACGAAAGGAATATTTTCAAAGGAATCTTACTAGCTAGAAAATACCATATTTTATGGCTTCCTTATAATTACAAATACATCTCTGCTTAGTAATCAAATTTCAGATAAGTTGGTGCAGCTCTTGAGTATGGAAAAAAAATGTCATCTTCATACCCTTCGTCCTCTTTCATCATCCAAATTTTACAAAATATCCCTGAAATTTTGTTGTTTTTACAAATCATATTGCTTCCTGTTAGCCTATTGCTGATTACCAGGAGAACAGTTGCCATACTTACCCTTGGCTCAGGAAGTAAAATATTAGAGAAAGGGACTGCTGACCAGGCCTTTATTTGCAAGCCATGTTTCAGGAGATGACTCTTTTAACCCAGATATTCACGTGCCTCACTCAAATTAAGGTTTTGGGTGTAAACTAGGATTTGGTGGATGGAGCTGAAAGATGCTTCTCAGAACAGTTGCAAATTAAGGCAACGTTAACTGTTTCCACTATCACATAATACCCCGCATCACACAAAAAAATTTCTGCACATATCACAAAAGTCTCAGTATAATAAAAATTCTGTGCGGGGGGAAAAAGAAGCTCCTCCCCAATCATATTGAGTAGATGTAGAAAATGTTTTAAAAAATTTTTTTTCGTCATCGCTGTTTTAACCCGAAAGAAAAAGTAGAGTCCCCAATGTCATAAAATTAATTGCTGGCAGAGGAACACTTGAGCCCTACTCTAGCCTTGTATGAGACTAATGATTCTGGACCATTCTACCTAACAGGATTGGCAAACACTTGAACTCTTTGTGGTTGTTCGAAGTTTTAAACAGTTTGCTCTAATTCACGGACAGGATTCTTTTGGATCGAATCTAATCTAATTTGCGGGCCTCACATATCAGCTGGAAATCGTGTGGGTGTTGGTTTAGAACTCAGATTGCCCCAAATTTTCCACTCAGATGGTCTAAGGTGGGGCCAGCAACCTGCGGATTAACTGGCCCCGCGGGAGATGGCGTGCAAGTGGCCCATCCAGAGGGGGACTGTTCACCATTGCTACAGCACCGCGATTTAACACCACCGACACTATTAATCCACCTCCTGGTCAAGCCAGCCGCACTCCAGGATGGGCTGACAACCACATCGCCTCGCACCTGGGATGGTGAACTAGAGCTCCCTACACCCGCATAAGGTAGAATTGCTTGCTTAACCTAAGTAACTCCATTTTACCCCGTTTGACCTGCAGACTACCCCCCCCTTCTGTGTGAGAAAACGTTGACCTCACAGAAACAAAAACCATTGCATAGAAACAGGAGCCATACGCAGTGAACTATCACATGGGAACAGGAACCATACACAATGAAAGTTTGTATGCTTGATTGCTCTAAGGGCTCATTTTTGGCTTTTGTAACCTAGCTACCTAGCTTGCTTTGTGCACCTGGACAGATCCGTGTGCCAACGGGATGGGGTTTTTGCCTTTAAAAACCCCACAAGACCAAGGCCCGGGGCCGTTCTCCCTTGGTTGCTCCTTGAGAGACGGTCGCTGACCAGCTGGAGTGAATAAACTGCCCTTTTCTGCAAGAGTGACGTGTAAGTGCATTCTTGCCGGAGGGTGCCTCACAGCAATGGGGCCTGGGAATTGCGTCTTAGCTGGTTCCGCTCCTATGTGGTCGCCCGGGGCAACCACAAGGTCAACTCGAAAGGCAAAAATAAATGTGTAACATTGCCAGGGCCGAAACTGGCAAAGGTCTAATCATTCATTTGGAGGTTTAAACTTAAAAATGACACCTGAAAAATAAATTGCCTGCCAGAAACGATTCGCGTCCGGGGGTGAAGGTGAGGGGCGGTACTTCCGGGTCAGGTGGGCCAGCCTCCTTGACCTTTCTCACTGCTCGGCCATTTTGTCCCAGTCAGTCCGGAGGTTGCGGCTGTGGAGGAGCTAACTGAGTAGGATTTGCAAAGATGCTGTCCGTGCGCGTCGCCGCGGCCGTGGCCCGCGCCCTTCCTCGGCGGGCCGGGCTGGTGAGCTCCGGGGACCGGCCTGTGGGAGTCGACTGGCGGGGCTGCAGCGGGCGGTGGTGCGCCAGCCGGGAGGTCTTTTTGCAGGGAGCGTGAGGGGCTGTGGCGGGCGCCTCCATCTTGCACTCTTGTCTGCTCGGGCTGGGCATGGCGGGCGGCCCTTCTGCTCGCCGCCCGTGCAGAGTGGTGCAGAGGGGACAGTGACCTCGATGTTGTCCACAGACGGGCATCAAGAGGATTCCTGTCTTTGTCTGAGAGCGGCCCGAGAGGGGGTCTTGGGCGAAGGTCAGGGCTTGGGCATTACCTCTCCGAGGCCTGCTACAGAACGGCGAGGCTGGTCCCCGCTGATAGTCGGGGTGTCGCCCCGCTGAAGGTTAGAGACTGCTGTCAGCTCTTGGTGAAGCGAGTTAGGGAGTCTGACATTGTAAGAAGGTCAGCAGGCCCTGGCATTTCATTTCTGCCCAGAGGTCAGTTCAGAGCATGGGAACACATGAAGGTGTTTTTTTGGAATACTTAAAAATAGACGATCCTTTAGCGCTGAATACAGAAACGATTGTGAAAACACCGTTCAGGCGCAGAGAAGTATTTTATGTGGCCGATACCGTGACAACAATGAGGCTGGTTTCTAAGTTGTCTCAACCTGGCAGAAGGAAGACTTTGCTTTGCGGTACTTTGACACGTTTAAAGATTTCGTCCTTGAGTTGTCCACTTGGTGTTTTGAGTTGTTAGGCAGTGATTGAGAATTCAAGTAAATAGAATGTAAGGTTGGAAAATGCCTGTAAGGATCAATGCTCCTTGTTACTTATCTCCGTTGATGTTAAGAACGTAACCCTTAAGTCCTGTGTACGTGCATTTACGTTTATATTTTTTTGTCTTAAAAGTAATCACTGAAAGATGAAATAAACATACTGACTGTTTTACTGCACCAACACAACTGGTGGTAGCATTTTGGTCTTCTGTTAGCAAAAAAGCATTTTTAATGATTTTCATCTAGTTCCTGTAGAAGGTATTAGCTTCAGTATTGATGGTGACCAATCACAGCATTACAACTTGAAGGATGGAGAAAAAGTGGTCCAGGTTCCAGGTTGCTGCAGGATTTGTTGAAGGCAGTGAAAAAAAAAAAAGTTCACGTCATACCGCTTAGTTTCTAATCTAACTCTAGTATTTTACTAACTCAGATTTCGTTTATTTGCTTGATTCTTTTTAAGTAAAATAGGAAATATAGGGAGATTTGGCCCTTGTAGGAAGCAGTTTATCTTACTGAGAATTTCCACAACTCAATTGAAATAAATCTAGAGTCTCAATAATAGTACCTGGGTGACTTAAATGGAAAAATACTTATACTTTGTTAACAGCTGTTTTTAAAAAGACTGCATTTTTAAAATAAGCTTTTTATAGAGTGCTTACTGTGTACCAGGAACTATGAAATAGATTTTCATACCTATCAAAAGGTATTTTCCCATGTGATTAATAGCCTTCAGATTTTAAGCAAAACATTTTAAATATATTTAATATTTTCACGAGTAATTTATTCAGGCTAAGCCTGCATTTGTTTAAGCTTGTCAGTTTTATAAAGGCTTTTTAAAAATCAAAGTTTAAAGAATGTTCTTGCATTAGGTCTCCAAAAATGCTTTGGGATCATCCTTCATTGCCACAAGGAACCTCCATGCCTCTAACCCTCGTCTTCAGAAGACTGGTAGGTCATTATTTCCATGTCCACATGACACCTAACTACCTTATCTTTAAGTGAAGACATATGTTATGTCGGTTATATAACTGTTGTGGGTTTTTCAATTTTTTTCTCATTTTTTTG